CTTCTGCCGGCTTCTAGGACGTAAGCAAACCAGCCCTTTTGGCGCATCGGCTGGGACCGTATGCTGAATGTTGGGGAGGGGATGGTGTCCCCGACGGTGGACGGACAACTTCAACGCGGTCCTTAGAACCGCCACAATTTGGCGCTTACCTTAGAACTAAGCCTTAAAGAGAGGACGGGTCCGTCCCCTCTCCTAGGCTTAGTCCAAGGGTGAGCAGACCGGTCCTTCTGGCGAAGCTACTGGACCAGCTGCACCACTTGCGTCAGTACTCTCCTATCGTACCAACCGAGTTGAAGTAAACCGTCGACCGTTGGGGACCCCATCCCCTCCCCAACATTCAGCATACGGTCCCAGCCGATGTGCCAAAGCTGGTTTGCTTACGTCCGCTTCTAGATCATTGTTTTTCAATTAGTTTTTGCTCATTTGCTACTTGTAACAATCACCTTGGACAAAAACAATTTTTTAAAGTAATTTCAGCAGAGTGAAGGCGGTGTGTGCTTGTAAAATACTGTTGGTTGGTTGGATTTAGAAACAATTAATTTTCAATTTTCATACCATTTTGATTCATGTTTTTAGTTAATTTTTAGCCTACTATCATTTATGAATGATGTTCTCTATTGTAATTTGTTCGGTATATCGTCGTTAATTTCCTCAAAATTCACCAGTAACTGAAGATTCGTTGGTAACGATTCGGATGCGACCCGACGGTATGGGACGGTTTGGCTTCAATGTTAAGGTAGGCCTAAATAATTGTGTTTGTACCAGCAGTTGTGATTTCAGGCGCTCAGAAGTTTCGTATCTCCCTTGGGGCACATATGTTTTTTGTCTCGGGCGCAATAATCCATACCTTGGCAACTATGAAATGTGCCTTTAGGTTTCAGTGTGGACTAAAACTCAATTTTCAGGGTGGTGCGGATCAGAACTACCCCGTTATCGTATCACGCGTCGCTCCAGGAAGTTCTGCAGACAAAGCACATCCACGATTGAACGAAGGCGATCAGGTACTGCTTAAGACAATTTGATAATCCTAAATATTTAGTATGAATAAATAAGTAAGATAAATAAATAAAATAAATAACTATTTATCCCCGTTGAAAGCTTTAATAACGAGTACTTGAGTGCACCAGGACGATCCCGTCGAGAAGGCTGAGATTTGGCTGAAATTTCTTGATTCCCTTTTTTTGAACTTCTACGGTATTTTTGAAATTGGAACTCATACCATGCTAAGAAAGCATGCAGAACTCCCCTACCTAATCGCGTCTGCAATCATGATGAAAAAATAGCGGCATGGCGCATCCCAAGAACGCAAGGAAAACTATGTCCTCCTTTTTTCAACGCTTGATTCTAGGTTCTGTTCATCAATGGCCGTGACGTGACACCTATGTCCCATGATACAGTGGTCGATTTCATCAGAAGCGCCCGAACTTCGCCAAATGGAGGGGAGCTCGTGCTCACGATCAAGCCCAATGGTTTGTTAAACTGTCATATTTTTCTTTACTATACGTTTCTTCCGTTTTCCGCTCATAAATTATGCGTGATTGGGATATCTAGGGAGCATGATGTCTTGCTGACTTGTCACTGAGGAAAAGAGGAGAAGGAAGTGCCAAAACGCTGGAGAAGGGCCCACTATTTCGGGTTGTGATCTAGTCTACACGACAGTAGCGCTGAGAAAGTTAGTGGGCGCTAAGGCGCGAAAGAACAAACTCGGAAACGAGAGAGAATGGGGGATAAGCGAGACGCAGACACGAAAGCATTTGCAACAGTGAAGGTGCATAGGTGCAGTAGGATGCATTGGTGCATGTCGTCAGTCCCTAAGTCTGTTGCCAGGCGTTTGAAGTCACAAAAGTGACCCCACCTCTGCGACTGCGAACCCAGTTACCTTATTCAACGGATAGACTGTATGCTCGATGTACTGATCGCGAAATGTGCCTTTAGGGTCTTAGCAATTTTAAGCAAATCTACCAGTACCAACCTGAAACTTTACGGGTCTAGCAGAACAAAATCGCCTTAGCTCATAGCGGGCATTGTATGTATTATTACCAGATATGAAGGCCTAACTGTTTCGTCGGGATTAAATACGCCAGTCGTGTCTTCCATTATTGTTACCCAAACAAATTTTGTGATTTAGCGAAGCCCAAAAAGCGACACGCCGCTATTTATTACAAGCATATATGCGTAGATAAAACTAGAAATTTGTCTGCGTTATGACGCGATCGTCCAGAGTTTGCTTTGGGATTGATGGTGCTCATTCATTTAACACATTGCGTACCAAGCCGTTTTTGCGCTGGCGAGCTCGCATGGCCGCTCGTGCATTGCGCATCGTGCGCCACATGGTGGCGCATGCGGCCATACGGGGCAGACATATTTCGAAATTCCTTTTGTAGGGGTACTTTCTCACTTTTGTATTCTTACAATCAGATTAGGTTACAATTTTATGATACTGCATCATATTTTTGCCTATTCGGCTTGTTATAAACATTCCTAGTAGTTAACGAATAGTTACACCACAGCAATAGTGATGGACCCAAAAATCTGCTTTGACCATTTTCTGGTGCAAACTAGCGACGGCAAACAAGTTTGTTCCATTACCCCACAATCTGCTTAAGCATCTTTATTGAACAGCAGCGACGATCATTAAGATTTGCAGAATATTTGTAGACGCATTTCACCCTTCACCGGACCATCGCAGGAAGTGGGTAGGTTAACTCCATAGTTTGCCGTACATTTACCGCCTAATTTGATACCAGGGTAGGGCAATCGTGAGTATGATTCTGAGTATAGGTATTTCTGAGTGCCTAGTAGTATGAGGCGTCGAAAATATACCGCCGAAAGACATGTGAGGTGGAAAAAGCGCTCATGACGCCTTAACGCTGATATTCTGCTGCGCATCACCTTCTTTTGGTGATTTTGGATGCAACACATTATTCCAATTCATTTGCATTACGTCTAGATTGTGAAATTGCTTGAAAGAATGCCTTTTATTCAAGCAAAATCCGTTTCCAAATTAGGCATTAATTTGAATATCATGTACAAATACTGATTACGTAATATTTTAGCAGAGCATTGAGTGTTGTGGTGTACTGTGCATCTTCGAATATGTTGTCCTCTTAGTGATAAATCGTATATCTGCACAAACACGAAATAATAAACGTCAACCGTTGTGAAGAAAAGATCGTGCGCCACCATGTGGCGCACGCGGCCACACGGAGCAGGAATGTCGTGCGCCACCATGTGGCGCACGCGGTACGCAATGTGTTAAAAATCAGTTACAATTCAATCAAATTAATGGAACGATTATTTCAATTTTTTCGCAAATTTGTTCGTGTCTGCCTTGTTTTTGGAAGGAAAAATATAGGTAAAGTGCTGCTAAATGATGAAGGGTAAAGCATTCGGCGTTAATCAATCTCTTTGTGAGATGCGCCACGCATTCTATTCCCCATTCAGGAATTGTAGTGACATTGTGTATGCCATCTGGCCCATACAATGACTTGGGGACTAGCCAATTTACGAGTCAGTATTTCTATCCTCCCAGACAAGTCTTGTGCCAACTAACTGACCCGAGGGATGTGAGGCCGATTCGGTCGGACGACGTAACGAAATTTGTCTAGATTGTGGCGTGATGGGTAAATAGCACCTTGGCATGTACACTTTCCGCTCATTGAAGTGTATTTGTGAAAAGTGTCGTGTTGAGGAAAATTGCGTGGTTATCCAAAAAAACACCTGCCTGACATTTTCAGTCTACCGCCTCGGTGAAGAAGTGGATGAACCGGAAGGGGCGGCACTTCCCGAGCAGATGCGGGTGGCTGAGAGTGTGCCACGGAGCGACAAACTATCTCATTCACTACGACTACTAGCTGATGCTTTGGCCACCGGCCGAATTGTGTCTCAGTTTGAGGTAAGTGGCCATTCAGGCTTACGCCCATACTCGTAAGCCGGTCATTCCTATGGGATTATTTCAAATTCAGCAACTTTATCGAAAGAAACCGGGTATGACGATGAATGACTGCCGACTGACGTCGAATCTCAACAAAATAGTACCTTCCTGATTACAGATTATTTTTAGAATTTTACTATAGCTGCGGGCTGTATGGATAAGAAACGTTTTTAGGTACTGAGATGTCATGTCTTACGAGCGACCAGGGTAGGTTGAACTCGTCTACGATGGGACTATATAGAATGTCACTTTGTTAATGTTAAGTCGATGAATTAAATTTTTCAGTTTTTGTGTTAGTTTTGAAAGGAGGCAGCGAAGAGGTCGGGGGACGCTAGCTTACAGTTGGTGTTTGGTCTTATACAGGACAAAAAAGCCGCCCATTTTGTGCTAAGGCTTGAGGGTTGTTTTTACGGAAATCCAGAGTGGAAAGCGGGCGGTAGAGATGGGATGAAGTGTGAACATTGCCACCGATGCACCTTCGAAATCTCACGAGGAGCTCTTCAAATTATCCGTGCAAATTACATGAGAACTGATGCGCTTAAGAACTACGGCATTCTCAGAGAAAGTAGGTCTTGAGGAGAGGCCAGGAATTATGGGAAAAAGACTGGCAGCGATACATATGGAGTCATGAAAGCAGACTCGCGAAAGAAAAGTGGACGATAGGTTCAGTTTTCGTATTCCGCTATGAAAAAAAACAAATCCAACACCGCCTCAAATCCAAAATCATTTTCGCAGCTAGGCGGCAATTTTATATTTTTCGCTCTGCTTCTACAACATCGGGGCTACACCATTGCGTGCTTGTGCTCCTTAGGAACACTTGGGTCAAAAACCGAATGCGCTTCTACAAGTCAACGTTCAGGGTGGCCATGATTCAGTGCAAGCGGCGCCCGCTGTTAAGTAGATCCCGTGAAGCTAGCCTTCTAGGGCTAAACCCAACATGTGCAGCTATTTATCGACAAATTTGTCTGGATGGTCGAAACAGTTCCATTGGATGGGATTATAAACTAATCAGTGCATAAAGGATAAAGGATAAAGCATTTGCCGTTGATCAATCCCTTTTGGGATGCGGCACGCATTCTACTTCCATTTGTACATTCGCAGTGGCATTTGAATGCGATGTGGCCTATACAATGACTTGCGGGGGCCAGCCGATGTTCAAGTCAGTGTTTTTTATCCTCCCAGACAAGTCTGGTACCAATTAACCGACCCCGGAGGGATGGAAGGCTTGGTTGGCCCGGGCGACTCACGACCCAGGATTTGATCCCCGGACCGCTCGCGTGGTAAGCGTGCCACTTGCACTACACTTCGTATGCAGTACGGAGGATGTGAATCCCATATATATAGATAGTAATAATAGAATTTTTTACGTGAACTGCAGATGAGTTTTCATTTGCCGGGGGCAAATTATTTATCATGAAAATCGACATATATTATATATATAATTAATATAAAAGAACCTATATGTACAGATATAAATAGCCTGTCGGAAGGGCTATTGGCACACCATCACCGTCAGCCGGGACCTGGTTGATGTATGGGAGGCAGTTTGTGGCCGCATATAGTCATGCTTCCCAGATATGAACGAGGTCGGACAAATCCATCAGTACTGGCGAGGTGTGAACGCTGAGATATTATCGATTCCTTTGAAATATTTAAATATTCTCAGTGTTTGACCATTTTTTTAGAAAAATAGAAGATTTTACCATTTCTGTGCGAACGAAAAGTGCACTTGTGCGGTTTCAGGCTGCACGAAAGCCACGAATATGGGTCGTTTTTGGTGAACTGCATAGTGATACGACGCCGAACTGTCCTTTATCGGAGTTTTCGTCCGAGATGAAGGTCAGTTTGCCTTCTAAGATTCCATTATGACTTGACAACAGAACCATTTACCGTTACGAGCGCAAGCCATACTTTATTCGAGGTAACGAGTCTAACCGTATCCCTGGGAAGATATAATCGGTGTAATGGTCATAAGCTGACTCTTTACCAGTCTTGAAAAATAGATAGAACGGATTGAAATTCTAAACAATTTTCTTGTACAGTGATAACGCGGCGGCGTCCAAAAGGCAGTTGTATGGGATCTTCCGCTTTAATGTTTTGAGAGCATATGTGTTAAAAGAATAAATAACCATCATGTAATAATAATAAGATAATAGTGTTCCAAGATATGACAGCAATGTACTTATGATTTTATGTGGAGCACGCTCATTTGTCTCTTAGATATTCTCTCTCAGCCGCCCTCTTTACAATGTCCTCGTGTCCTCTGATCTTGCACATGTCGAACCTGCTCTGCTTATTCAAAGAAATGAAGAACTGATTATAGAAAAAATTAGGTGAAATAATAGGGGGGGGGGAATCACAAAGAATCAGTTGACTTCCGTTTCGCACGGGCCCTTAGACGGAAGCCAGACGTGTGTGAGCATATATTATAAGTAACCTTCAACTAGGGGCGTTTGGGTTTCTCAACATAGACTGATCGAAAGTAGGTGTTTGCAAATTACTGACGTGACAATACGGTACTGAATAAGTAGAATTGATTGATTAGAATATCGTAATGTTATGTTTGCAAAGAAGAACGGCGAGTGACTCAGATGCAATACACTGCATGGCCGGATCACGGTGTTCCAGACGATCCACAACATTTCATCTCATTCGTCGATGAGGTAAGCGTTATTCAAGCATGAAAATGGGATGATGAGCCTCTCCTGCTACAGTAGCGATCAAAAGTGTTGCCGAAACGATTTTTTAGTGCACTATTTTTTCTCGCTTGAGCAACGCCCCCAAAATATTGATATACTATGTTTTTTAGTGTTTTTAAATCCTCAAACCCCAAAGAATATTCCGCGGCAAACGCTCCTTACCTACGAAGTTATACGAATACCTCATGAGCATAGCAAAAAGAACGGAACATAAGCGTTAGTTTCGATAATACTAATCCTACACACAAGACAAAATGATCACTCTTTCCGTGGAAGATTCCTTTAAGGTATCGTTTTCTGTGGTAATGAGGGCGGAGCTTTTCCGTGGAAGATTCCTTTAAAGGATGAAGTGTTATGGAGAGAATTTTTTTAATGTCCACTGATTTCTTTCTGGCCAACAGGCAGAAAACGATTTAGGGGATACTTTTGATGCTGCTGATATTCTGGACCACATATGTGAAGCTTCACAAATTCTGGACTAAACCGGGCTCGTTCAGGTTCGTCGTGCTCGTGCAGGCAGTGTCGACCCAATTGTCGTGCACTGCTCGGCAGGAATCGGTCGCACCGGAGTACTGATTCTGATGGAGACGGCTGCATGCCTTGTAGAAGCGAACGAGCCAGTCTATCCACTCGACATCGTACGGGTAATGAGGGACCAACGGGCGATGGCCATTCAAACAGCGGTCAGTTTTAATTTTTTTTTGAAAAATGGTGACGCAGAAAAAGTACAGGCATGTTGTATTTCTTAAAACAGGGCAATTCGTTTCATTTTATGTTTTATCCACTCCCACGCAAGAAGCCAATTTTCTTGCACGAACGAGCAAAAAGGTGTGGTAGACAAGTGGCTCTGCTTACCACGCGCGAGGTCTCGGGGATCAAATCCTGGGTCATGCGTCATCCTGGACCAATCGAGCTTTCCCCATAGGAAACCGTTGATTGCAATCAGAATTTCCTGGCATGTGCGTCGTTCGGCCCCCGCAACTCATTGGTAAAAAATCGCATTCAAATTGCTCTACGACTCTGAATGGGAGTAGAATGCGTGGCGCATCCCAAATGGGATTAATCAACGCTGAAAGATTTATCCCTTCTTTCATTTTCTTACACAAAAAAGCCCTACCATTCATGACGCTGGTCAGTTACCGACCATCTTCAGTTTTCTGATTTAATTTAAATTCATTTTCCATTTTCAGGGTCAATACACATTTGTTTGTGAATCGATCTTGCGTGCTTACAATGACGGTATTATCAAGCCACTGGCCGAATACCAGAAACGGTAACCGCCAGGGGTCAGTTGACCCCGTCCGTCCGTTCAGTGTGCAAGATACGAGTCAGCAGGGTCTACTACTAAGTTGTTCGACGAGAAACCAAAGAATCGCGAAAACCGCGTGTCGTAGAACAGATTGTTATTTTGCTAGTCATACCGTATTTTTTCTCTTTATAATACCGTATCTTTCATTGCATTTTTTTCTATGCGCGTTCGTTGATGATGTTGTATAACACCCAAAACGGTTATCAGAGTCCCCTCTATGGTAGGGGCACTCGTTGTTATTATTTTCGATTTTTCTAGCGTTTTCCTCCTATTCATTGGTGCTTGAAGAGAGACAGACGCGCCAACGGCTCATTCACGCTCTGTCCCGAAAGAGATCATTTTTCTATAACAAATAATAAGTCTGTGATCAGATAGTGTAAAGCAGCTTGATCCGCTTCATTTATGTAGAAATACAACTGCTCGAAAATCAGTCGAATTATGCATTTTGTGTGGGGTCTGTTTCCAAATGTCTTTGGGTCATTCACAGTGTTTCGGTCGTAATTGCAGAATAAGAGCTTCTGTAAGAGTATAGTTACCCTGAAGGTTGTATCACTTGGACGTGGCTGAGTTGGTGGGTTGACAATGGCCTTGATACCCTTACAATTTCAAAAAGTCCACAAACCATTTTTGCCAGGGGTCTCCCAGGGTCACTAGCTTAGAAACGATGGTCATGACTACTGGAGGGCGGAGCGGTTTTGATGACGTCATTGGACGCAAATAGTGGAGTGGACCCCTAGCGCGCTGGGGTGTGGTTGGGACCGCCTCTTCATCTCTTCCACCAATGTGCAACGAAGTCACCAAAACTGCACTGCGCCCCTCCCGCCCCCCCCCGGCCATCGTGATCACTGCCTTTAGGTATTTATCGCTGCTCAGTGTGAGCTGGAAACTTGCCAGCAGTGGGAATATACGTTTGCCCATGGCCAGCCTGGTAGGTGAGCCAGCTTGGTGTTGGTACACCCCGCCCACATCGGACGAGTTTTCGCGCTCAGCTTTGACCTTACCAAGGAATCTCAACTCACCGAAC